CTATTTCAAGAATAAGGGCCCTGTTATGTCAATTCGTGTGCGGCGTCCCTAAAGGCCAAATTACACTAGCGATTGGCGATTGACGATTGACAATTAAAGATTATATTTTAACGAATCAACAAGCTTCAGCCTTGGCTTGCTTTGTTTCAATTGGTCAAGTTCCAATTTTCAATCGTCAATCATCTATTGCCAATCGTTAGTGTGATTTGGCTTTAAGGCCTTAAGACCAAATCACGCTAGCGATTGGCGATAGAAGATTGACGATTGAAGATTGGAACTTGACCAATTGAAACAAAGCAAGCCAAGGCTGAAGCTTGTTGATTCGTTAAAATTTAATCTTTAATTGTCAATCGTCAATCGCCAATCGCTAGTGTAATTTGGCCTTTAGGGACGCCGCACACGAATTGACATAACAGGGCCCTTATTCTTGAAATAGTTGCGTATACGTAAGTTTTACTTGGTTTAATCATACCATAAAATAGCTGTGCAATGAAAATTATATGAAACGTATACGCAAAAATTTCAAGAATAAGGGCCCAGTAACGTAAGACGTATCGTGAAAATGGATCAATTACAATCGAGTATTCACAAAAATGGCGACCTTACGGTTCGACGATACTCAAAGTGATTAGTTAATTCTTACGGTACGTCTTACGTTACTGCTATGTCAATTCGTGTGCGGCGTCCTTGGTGGCACATAGAAAAACTTAAGCAGTAAAATTTAAGCAGTATAAGCAAATTGACCAATCACAGTCATTGATTCTTCTTACGGTCCAAGAATCAACGACTGTGATTGGTCAATTTTCTTACTGCTTACGTCTTTCTGCTTAAGTTTTCCTGTGTGCCACGACCCTTAAGCGTCTTCTACAATGGCAGTAGGAGTAGTAGTAAGAAATAAGCAGTAAGTAAATAGATCAATCACAATCGATTATTTTTGAAACGTAGGAATGGAATTGGTCAATTTGCTTACTGCTTATTTCTTACTACTACTCCTACTGCCATTGTAGAAGACGCTTTAAGCCCATTCTACAATTGCGTAAGCGTAGTCATGAACATAAGAGTCAACCAATCCGAATGTTTTATTCACTGATTGCTTTACTCTGATTGGTTGTCGTAATCACTTACAACCCCTTACATCCACGTTCACGCAATTGTAGAATGGGCTTTAGGGCCTTCACACATAAATTAACATAACAGTAACGTAAAGGGACGTCTACATTGGATGTAAGTAGTAAGAAATAGGAAGTAAGAGTAAGAAATTGACCAACCATAGTCGAATGTGAGAAGAATAATCAACTATAATTGGTCCATTCCTTATTCTTACTTCCTACTTCTTACTGCTTACTTCCAATGTAGACGTCCCTTAAGGGACCCGAAAAATTAGTTGCAAGTTATATATTGTTTTAACTTTCTTCTCACTTTAATGTTTTGCTTGTCAAACGTTGTTGCTTTCCTACAATTTAAACAAGTTACTGACCTTGGATCGCTGAAACTTACCTATCTTATGTATTTTGATGCGTAGAAACCGAATCTGAAAATTAAAATCATCGCTCGGCTGTACAAACCGAGAAATTAATTGTTAAAGATGCTAAAGGTGCTAATTGTTAAAGGTATGATAGATTAGGAAACTTGTGATTACAATGTAAAGTCTGTTCGTAGAATTGCCTCTTCTGTATTAGTGTAGTAAGTACTGCAATATCAAACGACTAGCGGGGGGCTGCGCCCACCGCACCGCTCATACCTAACCGAATCTATCATCACATTAGCCGTCAGTCATTGTTTATTAAAAAATTATTAAGAAAAAAGTTGAACACTTTAATAAACAATGACTGACGGTTAATATGACGATAGGTTGGGTTAGGTTAGTTTTTAAGTATTGCAGTACTTACTAAAAAAATATTTAAATTAAAAATATTTTTAACATTTGGAACACGAAAAAAATATCGAACGACGAGCGGAGGGCTGTGCCCCCCGCAATCCCTTAAAAATTAACCTAACCCAACCTATCGTTACATTAATAGTCAGTCATTGTTTATTAAAGTGTTCAACTTTTTTCTTAATAATTTTTTAATAAACAATGACGGCTAATGTGACGATAGGTTCGGTTAGGTTAGTTTTGAGGAGGGTGCGGGAGGCGCAGCCCCCCCGCTAGTCGTTCGATATTGCAGTTACATAATGTGATTAAAAGATCAGTAACTTGTTCAAATTGTGGGAAAGCAGCAACGTTTGACAACTGAAAAAAAAGTGAAAAAAAAGTTAAAACAATATATAACTTGCATATTTTTCGAACCCCGTTTGATTATCAATGTTGGAGTAAAAATAAATATTTTTACCAAAGGAGCTGTAAAAAAATATCAAAATTCGAAAAAGAACTTGTACATAATTACCTTTTATGCTATGTATAAATAATCACAGCAATTGCTCTTATCCTGTTCTCATTTCACTATCAAATGAAGAAGGTTAGGTTGCTATCATACAGGTTGCTGGGATATAGTTCTGAGATAAAGTTTAGTGCTGTAAATATTTCCATTTAATGCTGTAAGTGCTTCAGAGCTACAAATGGATCAATCACATTGCTTTATTGAATGTTTTAAAATATTTGCAGTGTTAAACGGCCCTACTTTTTGACAGTCAATAATATAGAGCGAGAAAGCACTAAGGGCAAATCAACTTTCTTACTCTGTTTTAAATTGCCAACTTCCGGCTTCACTTTGCGACCAGAATGCTTGGTCTATGTATATAAATTAGAGATGCCCGATTCTGAATTGATTCGATTCTTTCCCCAAAAATAGGCTTATTCGTGTTGTTTGCACTCTTCGCACTTTTCGTATTTAAAACTAGACAGAAGTATATTGGAATGTTTCGAAGAAGCAAAAACGAGACAACCAACTCGATTGTTTCTTCCAAGCGTCTGATTAGGCGTCCATCTCTTTTTAAAAGCGAAAAGTATGAAACAAGCAAGCAGCAAGAACAACCATTTTTCCCTAAATTTGTTAGAGAAAGAATCGAATCGATTAAGGGACGTCTACATTGGAAGTAAATAGCAAGAAGTAGGAAGTAAGAGTAAAAAATTGACCAACCACAGTCGAATGTGAGAAGAATAATCAACTATGATTGGTCAATTTCTTATTCTTACTTCCTACTTCTTACTGCTTACTTCCAATGTAGACGTCCCTTTAGGAATCAGGCATCTCTAATATAAATCATTGCTTACGCCATCTTACGGCCTGTTCTACAATACATATGTCGCTGTCGGAGTGCAGCCGATGATCCAATAAGGAGAATTCGTCTCGAAAAATAAATCCTCTGATTGGTCCATCGGCTGCACTCCGACATACGACATATATATTGTAGAATAGGCCTTCGGCCCGTTCTACAATTCGCTGTAAACTAGAACCGGATATCGGGTGCATGTGCACTAAACTGTCGGTTGTCGTATAAAGATGTCGGCAGTGTCGTAAGCCGGCCGTCAGTGTCGGAAAGAAAGATGGTCAACTCCCATCTTTTCCGTTCCGTACGATTACGTTTGGCTGCAACATAACTTACATTACTGATATTATTACATATCTTATTATGGATTCATTGAGTGTGGATGAGATGATTATTGATTTTGTACGGAAAAATAATTGTTTGTATGCCCAGATAGCACAGAGATGGTAAGCGAACATAATCCATAAAAAAAGAGGGGATAGCGTTGGCAACGTTCAAAAGTTCCTAGGATCCATAAATTCATTTCTCAAGGTTAATATTGTAACGTCCGGATCTATTTTAGAACATTAATAATATATTATTATAGACCGGGAGGCCGACTTGTCTGATTTCAGACATCACTAGATATTA